AAAATTGTCTCTTTTGTTCAGATTGAGATTATGGAGATTGTAAATTCCTCAAAACAGTGCTGCCTATTACTAATTAAATGTTGTTTATTCCTTTTCATTATGGCTAGCTGCAGTAAACTTATATAACAAGCCCTTGCATGTGGCATCTCAATTCTTTAAATAAGGCTACTGTTTTTATATTCTAGTAAAACTCCCCTGAGGCTCTGGTCAGAGTAAAGACGTCACTTGCAAGGATAGATATGGCTGTATTTATCGGGTATGGGGTAATAAGATTTGATTTGGCCAATGTCTCCAACATGAGAAAGTTACCCAAAGAAAATAAATGTCAGCTGTACTATCAGAATGCAGTTTATTTAATGGCTAATATTAAGGGTTGACATCATATAGATCACAAGAATAAGGTGATAAGGGCAAATTGGGCAATTTCTACTGAAGCTGCAAGAATTTTAGCGAGTTATTTGCAAATCCTCCCTTGAAAATACCAAGTATCATATTGACCTGTTCTGCATTATTCTTTTTCATCATGTATTATGCCAAGATTTTGCCTTACATTTCTGATTAAGTGGTTTTTGTTGTATCAAAAATTCTACAAGAATTAAAGATGCAGCTACTGAGATAATTCTTGATGCAGCAACTTGTAGATACTGTTTCCGATGATGAAAGTTCTGATAATGATAGAGATGGGAGCTGGCCTTTCCAAGGTTTTGTTGAACAACTCTTCGTTGATATGTTTGACCCTGGTAGGTATTTTTGCTTTCCCGCTGAGTTTTTTTTCAATAATGTATGTGAAGTTGTAGTGAGTAATTTTCTTCTCAGTTTGGGAGGTTCGTCATGGAAGTATCATGTCTCTTAGGGAGATATTAACTTATCAAGGAGCTAGTGCTGGAATTCTTATGCCTGAAGTCAGCAATCGTGGTGTGACTGTTTCTAATTTGAACGATAAAGATAATGAGTCTGAAATAAAAAAAGAGGGGGAAATTGATTTGAATATGCTAGTGTCACTGGAGGAATCAGGGCCAGTTTCAAAGAGACCCAAGATTGAAGATGCACCGCATGGAGATACAGATGTTTATATGAAAGGTAATGATGGACAACCAGTTCCTACTATACATAATGGTATAATCGGTGTTAGATTTTTGAAGATGGAATCTCAATCTGGCATTGAGGGTACCTACCACTCCATTAGCGATGCTTCAGTAAAAAAAGAATGCTTAGAAGGCCATGAATTATCAGGGAAGATGAATATATTGAAGAATCTTCCTCAAAACTCTGAACTCATGAACCTTCTCAAATATGCCAGCACTTCATGGCTAAGAAACTTTGAATTTCTGCAAGATTGTGCTATTCGCTTCTTGTGCATCTTGTCTTTAGACCGGTATGTTTTGATTTGTGAAGAATTGTACTTACAGAGTTTTATGCCTACGGTAAAGATAGTGAAATGAAGTTGAATATAGAAGGAAAACGAGCAGCTCTCTGGCTCCAAATATAAAGTCATATCGTGCTATGCATGAGATTTCAAATAATTGTGGATTTTGTTGTTTCTTTCACGAATAATTATGTTGTCTTAGAGATCTAAATGGTGTGTTTCCTTCTTTTAGGTTTGGAGACTATGTCTCTGATCAAGTTGTTGCACCAGTAAGGGAAACTTGTGCACAAGCATTAGGTGCTGTACTCAAGTACATGCATCCATCATTGGTTCAGGAGACATTGAACATTTTATTGAAGATGCAGGTAAATATTGTGTGAAATTGTTTGGTTTCTTAAAGTCTTCTCGTGATTTCTCTAACTGCAACATCTTCTTAATTATAATTTTAACTTTTTTCAGCTTAGACCAGAATGGGAGATTCGTCATGGGAGTCTTTTGGGTATAAAATATTTAGTTGCCGTGCGGCAGGTAATTTTTGTGATGTGTTTTTCCCCACTAATACTTGACTATTTGTGTTAAGCAAATTTCTTAGCTTGACTGTTCCTGCTTACTGGTACTGTTGCTAAAAAATGATGCATCATGAATTCTTTTGTGTATTCTTTCAACAATTATTGTGAGATTATGATTTTAGCTTCCACAGTGATGTTTAAGATAGTATATAAGCACCATGTGTTGCTGATAGAGTATGGAAAATGTTAATTGGCATGGAATATACTATTTTATTAGGCTGCATTTACTAAAAGATGTGAATGTACTTATTATGGATTGCTGATTTAGAATTCTAGTTTTGTTGCCTGGAAAGTGGTTCAACTAATTTGATCATGGTATCAACAGTGCTGTTTAGTTTGAACTATTTACTTTTAGGCTATGTTTGGTAGCCAAATAAGCAAGCTTATAGCTTATTTGGTTAGCTTATAAGCTTCCTGTATTCAAATAAGCCTCGTTTCGTAGGACGAGCTTTTTTAAAAAGCTCGAGCTTATCTCATAAGCTACTTTAGGTAGCTTTTCAAATAAGCTAGTTGAATTTTTTATTTTAGCTAGCTTATCAGCTAATTTTACCAAACACTTTTATTTTATAAGCTAGCTTTTCAACTATAAGTCATAAGCTATAAGCTATAAGCTCGAAAATTACATATAAGCTATAAGCTAGCTTATCAGCTAGTTTTACCAAACATAGCCATAATCACATACAACATTCGGGAACCATATGTTTATAGCAGAAAAAAATACTTTAATAATGAACCAATAAAGAACTGAATGCGTGTTCCATGAGCTTCTGTTTCAATTGCCTAAGAAAAGGAACAGATAGGAAGTCTTGTATGTTGAATATGAACTACCAAATGAGGCAAGCAATCACGTTGATTATGTTTCACTTCCTTGAGTTTCTAGATTTATAGAAATTTTGACTTGACATTGATTCAGAAAGGTCATGTTTGTCTTTCTTCTGTATCGAGGCAGCGTAACTTAATCAGAATCAGGCATATGGATGAGGCCACTCGCTTTTTTGTTGCATTTGTAAATATAATTTGTGCTGAATGGCATTTATTATGTAAAAAAGTTAGTTTTCCTACTGAAAGCATTTTTCTTCCTATTGATGTAGCTGCTATTTTTATTTATTTATTTATTTATTTATTTTTTGTTTTGATAACAGGAGATGCTACATAATTTGCTGGACTTCGTTCTTCCTGCTTGCAAAGCTGGACTTGAAGATCCTGATGATGATGTGAGAGCAGTGGCAGCCGAGGCATTGATTCCGACTTCTGCTTCTATTGTTTCGCTAAAAGGTTCAACTTTACATTCAATTGTTATGCTGCTCTGGGATATTTTGCTTGACCTGGATGATTTGAGTCCCTCGACCAGCAGGTATGTTTTTGACCTAATTATATTTTACTACTTCCTACTTATGGACTTTTCTACCTTTCATATCATATTGCAATGCCCATCTGTGTTACATTGTTTTATTGGTAAAGAGCCTACAGATAGTAAATAGTAATTCTGTCCAGTAACAAAGTTCTTTTTTACTCGTTCAGACCACTTTTGGTTGGTAGATTTCAAGTACTCATGTTTTTTTGGAATTCTTGCAAATGCCATATGTCTTGATTTTGCTCTACCTCTTTCTCTAGGCTTCTGTTAACGTTTCTTATTTAAAATTTTGGAGAAAATATAGGATCTACTCTGCTCTTACGAAAGTTGCAACCTCCACATTGGGTAATCCTATATCATTTTCTTTTGCCATCTCTATCTATGAACCTCCTACCCATTACTTAGTGATTTTGCTTTCCATACCAGACTTCTATTTCTCTTCCTTATTACCTGGGACTGATTAGTTTGTTTGTTGCACTTCAATTTGCTAATTATCAAACTTTTCCTATGTGCTGACTTTAGCACGGTGCGTTACTTTAGTGCGTGCTTGTTTATAAAAATACCAACAAAAAAAATCAATCTAACTGAAATCTTACTCAAATTTACCCAACCTCACTATCCTCAATCAATATTATTAATGTAATTAAATATTATCAATCAATCATCCTTACACATCACATCAATTTTAGTTCACTATTCATTCACTCACATAATTTTAACTACCTATCACTTTCAATCACATCTTTCCTACTTTTACATCAATTCAACTTTAATCATTTTATTTTAAATATTATATTAATACAAACTCAAAATCTCACTCAAACATATGGTTAACCAAAAAACCAATCAAAACCAAAATTATAGACAAGCACTCCCTGAGTGTTTGGTTTTCTAGTCCTAGTCCTTATTACCTCATTATATCAAGTTGTTTCCTGATTGCTCTATTGTTTTGTCTGTCAGCTGGATTTTATCAATAGTGGTACCGATGAGTCCTTTGCTTCCTTTCCTTCTGATCTACTTTGTACAGGGAGCTATTTTATCCTATATTATATATTTACATTTGAATTCATATTTGTAGGTATGAATTTGTTCTTGGCTTATTATAGGCCTTAGATTTTCATCTGTTAACTTGTCATCATCTCACTTCTTAATTTCTCAGGCAATGGTCTAAATAAGTGATAAAAAAGAGAAAGATTATAGGTTATGAATCTCTTTGTGTGCTCTGTTTGTTGGTAATGGGTTCATGTTCATGGTGTTGAATTTCGACCGACTTTGCAACCCCAAATGGATACTTAATATACTAGTGATATGATTTACACACGATTTGTTTTTCATTGTTGCATAATACGATATGAATATACATTGTTCATTATTTGCTGGATGAAAGGGGGTACATTTTTTTTTTATTATATTCAAATTTGGTGCTTTTGAGCACTGGTCATTATTTTGCTTCATAAGTCTATCAAAGTTTTGATTGACTAATCTGTACTGCAGTGTAATGAATCTATTAGCAGAAATTTATTCCCAGGAGCAGATGATTCCAAAGACTCTTGGAACTTTGGGTTCCAAAGAAAGTGCGGTTCTCAACCATGGGTATAGTCACTCGGATTATCTAAAGGAAGGAATGAGTTCTCTGGAGAATCCTTATATGCTCTCAACACTGGCACCAAGGTTATGGCCATTTATGAGACACAATATCTCTTCAGTCCGCTTATCAGCAATCCGCACCTTGGTAGTACATTCAACTTGCACCTCGTGCTTACCATGTTTTAGTTTTATTAGTTCCCGTTGAATAGCCTTAGTAATTCTTCATTACTCTCTGTAAGATGGTCTACTTATTTACTGCACTTATTGTAAAGTGGTTATTAAAAGAAGATTGGATGTGGATGATCAATGTGCAGGAACGTTTACTTGAAGCTGGTTATCGGAGGAGTGTCTCTGATGTGTCCAGTTCACTTTGGCCTTCTTTTATAGTTGGTGACACCCTGAGGATTGTTTTTCAGAATCTGCTACTTGAATCAAATGAGGAGATTCTGCAGTGCTCAAAGCGAGTTTGGAATCTCTTGCTCAAGGTATGCCTTTTGCTGTTTGGTAATGGTTTTTAATTCTTCTTTCTTTTTAAGTAAGATTCCTAATGCGATAGTGGTCATTCCACTAGCTTCCATCGCATGTTATATAATAATTTATAAAGTGGGTAAGCCGCCAGGGCTTGCCACTTGACTGTTTCAGTTATTCCCTGCTCCAGTTCTAAAATGTTCATTGAATTTATCAGTGCCTGGTGAAGGACCTAGAAAATGCTGCAAAATTATATTTCTCCTCATGGATTGAGCTTGCAACTACTCCTTACGGGTCTCCATTGGATGCAACAAAAATGTTTTGGCCTGTAGCCCTGCCTCGTAAAAGTCATTTTAAAGCTGCAGCTAAAATGAAAGGTGTTGGTGAGCATCAGACAAATAACGTCTTGGAGTTTGGATGGAGCATGTCAGGAGAGAATGGAGATGCATCCACGAATTCGACAAAGATAATTGTTGGTGCGGATCTGGACATCTCAGTAACTTATACAAGAGTAATTACATCATCTGCCCTTGGTATATTGGCATCAAAGTTGAATGGTTCATCCTTGCAATGTGTGATCGATCCATTGTGGAAGGGCTTGACATCCTTCTCAGGAGTTCAGCGGCAGGTAACATTTGGATGCTGAGAATCAATGAAATGTTTTTATGCCATAGTATTATATTATTATATTGTATTTCCTTTTATTATTATTATTATTATTATTGTTATTGTTATTGTTATTGTTATTGTTATTGTTATTGTTATTGTTATTGTTATTGTTATTGTTATTATTATTATTATTATTATTATGGGTTGTACAGTGCTACAGAGGCATCTGGGTTGTACAGTGATCTCGTTTCTTCTGTTAAACTGGACATAGAGAATATGACCGCAGATGATGCTGTGAGTTTTGCATCACTGTTTGATTTTATGGGTAACTGTACCCCCATGCCGGAGTCCGAAGGAAGGATTTTGTGTGAAGAATTGGAGTCTCTAAAGCAAAAGCTTTTGACAACAGCTGGATATCTGAACTGTGTTCAGGTGAGTGTTAGCTGCTATACACCTATTAATGTGTTAACAAGTTACCGAGAATATTAACTTTTTGTCTATGCAAATGATTCAGTATATCTCTTGACTTTTCATTTACTGTTTTTGGTGCTGTTTCAGAACAATTTGCATCTTACTGTCTCGGCTTTGCTAGCTGCAGCAGTTGTTTGGATGTCAGAGCTTCCCGCCAAGCTCAATCCAATTATTCTGCCTATAATGTCATCCATTAAGAGAGAGCAGGTATTATGTGCAGTTTGTACAGAAAACCTCAATTCACTTTATAATTGTATCGTCTCTCTTCCCCATAGGAGGAAATTCTGCAATGTAAGGCTGCTGAATCGTTGGCAGAGCTCATCCATCATTGTATCGAACGCAAACCAGGTCCCAATGACAAGCTAATTAAGAACCTATGTAATCTAACCTGCGTGGATCCTCGTGAGACTCCGCAAGCAGGAGCTCTAAATTCTGTTGAGATCATTGAAGACCAAGACCTTCTGTCGTCTGGAAGTAGTAGCGGTAGACAAAAATCGAAAGTTAATATGTTCTCTGCTGGTGAAGACCGCTCGAAGGTTGAAGGCTTCATTAGCAGACGTGGCTCTGAACTTGCATTGAAATATTTATGCATGAAATTTGGCAGTTCTTTGTTTGACAGACTCCCAAAGATCTGGCATTGTCTTGTTGAGGTCCTTAAGCCCTGTGATCTTGAAGGCCTAACACCAGAAGATGAGAAGCTGATTGATCGATCTATTGCTTCCATTAAGGACCCTCAGATTCTAATTAACAATATACAAGTGAGTGTGATAAGCTTTCTCCTAACATGTGTAATAGTCAGTTAGTTAATGTTTCTCAGTTCAATGGGTTTATGATTTTTTTTTTTCCCCCGATCATCCACCCATGCAGTTATGTTTTTAATGCAACTCAGTCTGCAAAAGGAGGATGTGTCGCTGCCTTTTTTCATGTTGGTGGTTGTTACATGTATGGGGATTACCCTGAAATCTGTCGCGTGTTATATGCATATCTAGTTGTGGACTTCTACAGCCGGCTTCTTTCTCTTGTTGAGCATAAAGCTTGTCCTTTGTGTTGCGTCATGATTGTCCTCAAAATTGGGAACTTACTGTTTTTATTGTTCTTTTGCTTCCTTCTTTTCAATATTTTTGGTTTTTCATGATCCCTTATTTTATTTTCATTTTTCTCCCCATCACAGGTCGTGCGGTCTATTGCTCCTTTCCTTGAGGCCTCACTGAGGCCGAAGCTGCTCACTCTCTTACCATGTATCTTCAGATGTGTAAGGAATTCTCATATTGCAGTAAGATTATCCGCGTCGAGGTGCATAACAGCAATGGCCAAGTCGATGACTTTGGATGTTATGGGTTCTCTTATCGAGAATGTTGTTCCTATGTTAGGTGATATTGGATCTGTGCATGCCAGACAAGGAGCTGGGATGCTTGTGAGTTTGCTTGTACAGGGACTGGGTTTGGAACTCGTACCATATGCTCCTCTTTTGGTTGTGCCTCTTCTGAGGTGCATGAGTGACTGCGACCATTCAGTCAGACAGAGTGTGACACATAGTTTTGCTGCCCTGGTGCCCCTTCTTCCATTAGCACGTGGGGTCTCTCTACCTGTTGGTCTTACTGACCGTTTGTCACAAAATCAAGAAGATGCCCTATTTCTTGAGCAGCTAGTTGACAATTCTCACATTGATGATTACAAACTCCCCTTTGAGCTAAAAGTGACTCTGAGGAGGTAAACTCATTTCTTTTATCGGCAATACTGGCTCTTCTCTAACTTTTGATATTAATGTCGATATTTGAATTTTTATCTATTTGTCTTTGCTGAAGTATGTGATGCTATTTGTTAATATTCAGTTATTCATATGCAATGAAATGGGCAGTTAAGTTGGGCATCATAATCATGTTTATTTGACATCCACATTATTTTAGTCTCTTTCATTTAATGGTATGATTAAAAAGTAAAGCGTACTCAGAAGGAGTTATGTCTTCGAAATGCAACCAGAAAGGCGTCATTGTGCCAGTCGAAATATGATCTGAATGTATCATCTCCATCAGAGTTGAGTAGTTTGTTATTTCCTTTGAGAATGCCTGCTCAGAATATATTTATGTTTTGTACTCTGATCTCCCCAGCTGTGGTTAAATTTGTACAACAACAACAACAACAACAACATACCCAGTATATTCCCAACAGGTTGGGGTCTGGGGGGTCAGTTGTACGCAGACCTTACCCTTGTAATTATTGTACGCAGACCTTACCCTTGTAATTATACAAGGAGGCTGTTTCCGTAGCGACCCAAGGTGCATTGCGCCGTTTGATATATATATATATGTGTATATATTTTTTTTTCTAGAAACTTCACTAAATTGAAGAAGCACTAGAATTTAATTGAGCCATTTTGATCTAGTCCATTATTAGCACTGTGGTTAAATTTGTAGTTTTACTTTTTCCTACTTATGCCCTATATATATGCAGTATGTATATCTGAAATTCTATTTTTCAAGTTATAGACCTTGCCTTCTATTTTTCCTGTTATCTCTTGTATTAGTTCACCATAATGACTGCGCCCATTCTTTCAGATAATTGAATGGCAATTTTGCAGTTACTTTTGATGGTTGATGTTTGAAATACTAGCCTCATTCTCGTGTCCTGTTCCCAATGTCCATTTTCATCCAGACTTTTTGTTGCAAGTAACATCTTGTGATTATCTTTTTGTTTCTCTTGTACTTTCAGGTATCAACAGGAGGGTGTTAACTGGCTTGCATTTCTGAAACGGTTTAACCTTCATGGCATCTTATGTGATGATATGGGCCTCGGTAAGACACTTCAGTCATCGGCGATTGTGGCATCTGCTGTAGCTGAGCACCTTGCAGCCAATAAGGGTGATGATATGCTGCCATCATTAATTATATGTCNAATTTTTTTTTAGTGCCTTATATTCCCTTTTCTTAATTGCAGGCGCTTCAATATTTGTTGAAACTGTGTAGTCATCCGTTACTTGTTCTTGGTGATAGTACACCAGACTCACTCGTACCAATGATGTCAGAACTTGGATCCCCGAATTCTGACATCTCTGAGGAGCTTCATAAAATTCATCATTCGCCTAAGCTTGTCGCTCTTCAGGAGATAATGGAAGAGTGTGGAATAGGTGTGGATGCTTCTAGTTCTGAAGGACCTATTTCTATTGGGCAGCACAGGCTTCTAATATTTGCGCAACACAAGGTCGTGGTTGTTTCTTTTTGCACAAACCTTGAGACTTTATGTTATGCCATCTTGGTTTCTAATTGTGGATTTCATGCTGCAGGCATTTTTGGACATTATTGAAAAAGACTTGTTTCACACTTATATGAAAACGTGAGTTCCACCTTGTTTACACACACATTTATGTAAATATGGACTGCAGATTTAGACTGTCCAATTATTTAAACTTTTCTACCCTATTTTTAAGCAGTGTTGCATATTTGCGGTTGGACGGATCTGTTGAACCTGAAAAACGTTTTGAAATTGTCAAAGCGTTCAACTCAGACCCCACAATTGATGCTCTACTGCTCACAACTCACGGTACTACTTTTTTCACCTGCCAAATTCATTATAACAAAATCAATTTTTTGTGACTTGACCCTGATATTTCGATACACGCAGTTGGTGGGCTTGGTTTAAACTTGACGTCAGCTGATACTCTTGTTTTTATGGAGCATGATTGGAATCCCATGAGAGATCATCAGGTAAAGAATCCAGCCTTTCTGCACGACTTGTTCCTAACTCATTCAAGAATCTTGAATTGCTGGAAGAAAACTTGCTCTCATGCAAACAAATGAAGGATGTTGGTAGTTGCCTACTATTATTACCCAGGTTTTGGTTTAACTGATGGGGTAAGGAAGAATTGATTGTCAATTCTGATCAATCACTTAACCGATAGGCGTTTAGATAATTTAGAGTAAGATTATGCATGTGTTATTAAGAGAATCATTGATGACATTTTGTTTGTAATGGGCCTGGTAGAACTTATCCCCCAAAAGCTAGCTCAACAGGAGAGGAGAGGGTGCCCAACCCACACTTATACACAATAACAACTTAGTAACTAATTGATGTGAGACAAACATAACTTCTAACAGTTCTGAGATACAATTGCTGACTAGTGCGTCTTTTTTTCATCTCAACTATTAATGAAGTTATATCATTATGCCTTCATTTATTTGGTGATTTAGTGTTGCTCATAATGGGGCAATACCAACTTTAGCAGAACATATGGCCTGAAGTTTGATCGAACACTTTCTTTAATAAATGAAACTAATACATATGAGAGAGTTCATTCATGTACTTCATGTTTTCTTGGTTTCCTATTGTGAAAAGATCCTGCCTTTTTAATTGAAAGAGACTGACTTTTAAAAAACTTATGTTTTTTTTTCTGGGCATGACTTGCAGGCCATGGACAGAGCACACAGGTTAGGCCAGCGCAAGGTTGTGAATGTCCATCGTCTTATCATGCGAGGGACCTTGGAGGAGAAAGTTATGAGCCTCCAGAAGTTCAAAGTTTCTGTAGCAAATGCCGTCATTAATTCAGATAACGCGAGCATGAACACGATGAATACAGATCAATTACTTGACCTGTTTACTTCTGCAGATGGCAAAAGGGTAGGGCTTGCATGGTTATGTTTTGTTTTCATCATCAATTCCAGCTTTTGGTGTAGGAAGCCAAATTTTTTCAGTCCATCAATTTTCATGTAAACGTTACGATTATGTTTGACGAGTAAATTGAAATATGCTAAATTGGGAGTGGCAATGCTCAGTCCAATTTCCCACCCATCCTTGACTTGGCAAAACATTTGCATGGTTAGTTACTGAATAGTGAATTCCAACCAGTTTTCAAAAGTCACTAATCAACCCTTTGATTCTCTTACAAATTACATCCTGAAGACTGTATTTGTAACTTTGGAAACTAAATGATTTCCTACTTTTTGGTTTTGTTAATTATGCAATAATCCCATGGGTGAACCTTTTTGCTTGATATAATTTGTGTATGAGTATGTGTTAATTGTTGTTTTAAATTTGTGTATTGTTTTCCAGGGTGTCAAATATTTAACGGCATCTGGTGAGGATGCAAAAGGCAGAGGAAAGGGCCTGAAAGCCATACTTGGCGGGCTGGAAGAGCTCTGGGACCAATCCCAATACACTGAAGAATACAATCTTAACCAATTTTTAGCCAAGCTTAATGGCTAAAACAAAGTCGAGCGGCTCCCGGGATTTTCGAGTTGTGAATACAACTAAAGTGCATCCCAGGTCATTCTGGCAGTTGATGAACAAAGCTGCACCTGATGTACAAAAGTGTAAATATTTTGAACTTTGCAGATCCAGTTTTTTTACATTTAGCACTAGAGGGCTTTCTTTCTTTCTTTCCTTAACATTTCTTCTTCTTTTTCTTTTCTTTTTTCTTTTTTTTTTCCTGGGGTGCGTTGGTCTTTTCTTTTTTCTTTATTTTTTTTTTCCTGGGGTGCGTTGGATGTTTCTTGTTCTTCTTTGCTGTGCTTGGGCTATTTTTTGGCCTTTTGGTAGCACCATGGAGTAGTGTAGTCGAGGCTTTCCAGGATTTGCAAGCAGATGAGATGGTGTTGGGAGATGGAGGTTATAAGAAGATGTAAAGTCTGGATGCTCAACATACATTCAACAGTTATTTATTCCTTTATCTCAAGTAAATCTAGAGTTAATAACTCTCTCCCGCGTGATTTTTTTTTCTTTTCAATTGCGAGGGATCCCACTCTGAGTAATAGAGGTCATTCTAGTGGTGCATCGACTGCTTATGTTAGTTTCTAATACAGAAACTAATATGATTGTAGATATGATTCTAAACTTTGGGAGAGAGGTGACGATTTTTGACGTGTGAAAATGTTATTTTGCTGAAAAATTCAATCTTAAGTGGTGTGAGAACAATGTGACATTGTGGAAAATAAAATTAGACGAAAAGCCTTTTGCATTTTTCTCTCTTTACATAATTTCAACCCCATTGGCCACGAACATGCTTTATCATCAGGAGGAGGAGGAGGTTAGAATGAAACTCTTTCTATTTCTATTTACGTATGAAATTAGTTGTGATTTTATCCAAGTACTTGTCTTCTAAATGAAATGACACTCATTTCAAAAAGGAAAAAGAAACAAGAAACAACAAACAAACAATGAAGGAATTAACATTCAACAGTATGTATTGAATGTATCTCTACCATTTGAGAATACATATGCTTTCATCATTCTTTATTTCCTTCTGCTTCCATTCCTCTTCCTGGGGCTATGATGATGAAAGGAACGTGGTCTGCACATTCAAACCAAAAAAACAGAAAAGCAAGCATTAGCACAAAATTGACATTACTTCCTATTTGAATGCAAGTGAAGGGGTGAATTTTTCTTATTTTCGAAAATTTAGCGATCGATAGCTACCCGCAAGATTGTGGTACAGACCACGAATGCGACTTTCTTTTCCTTACATCTTCCTGCAAAGACGTATAATTTTTCCAATCATCGAGCAAAATCCTGAGATCGTGAATCTTATTATCCAAGCCAGCACAGCAATTCGCGTGCATCGTGCACACGAGGTTCAAGTCCTTGCTCGGCTGGCAAAATCCCCCGAAATAAACCGTGTCCAAAAACTTGATCTTTAGTCCAATGCCCTTAACAAATGGGTCGAACTTTATCTTGTTGAGCACATCTTGGTCGTGTTTGCCCGAATACTTTTTCCTCGACTCATACCAGAATTTATAGAACTTTATAGTTTGAACTCCCGATTTCACATAATTAAAACCTCCGTTTGGTGCATTTTGCAAGTCGGTCGAGTTCCCGCCAAAACTATCGCACGAGATTTGGAAGTTCGTGTCCGTGTAGAAATGTGGGAATGGATTTCTTAGCCACATTATGTCTGCATCCTGCAATAATTACTCAGATTACGTTGTAATCAAATCGGTAAATTTATTCCATTTAGCGTGAAAATTAATTTACGCACGGTGAAAACGAAATTGTATCCCATCTGGAGAACAGTTGTGAGGAAATCTATCCTTGTCCACATCATCTTCAAGTAATCTGGAGTCATGAAATGAGCCTCGTTCGAGAAGTTTACGCCTTTTGTTGTGAGAAAATAGCAATGGAGATCATTTGTTGTCCTTAAGCAGTGATGAAATGCTTTCTGATCTAAAGCTACAACTACCAAATGCTTGAGGAGCCAAAGTGTGTGATTCCCAATTCTGAAGCTCTCCAGAAAGAGATCGAAAATCGAGCCTGGCTCGATCCATGCTTCGTTTAAGGTTGTTATGATCACTGTCTTGTCTTCCATGGCTGCCTTCTCTAGTACTTTCCCCAAACCTACCTCTTTTTCATTAGCCTGAGGTTTAAAATGACATATAATTAGAGATGCAAAACAATTTGTCACACGATCTTGCAAAAATATGATTTATTTCTGATAGCTAAAAAATCAAGAAAATGGTTTTGTACATTTTTTCAACTCGCTTAAAAGATCAAATAATTAGAAAATGAGAGAAAAGAAATTTTTAACTTACAGGGGTGCTAAAAGATGAGTAGATAGATGTTGGGAAAAACTGGAAAGGGCTTGCCGGTGTTTGAAAAACGACTAAGTATGCTAAAGTGATCATTGTGAAAAGCAACAAAACTTTAAGGAGTCGATTGAAAAAATAACGGCTGTGATGATGATCGGAGCTGATTGGCTGGTGGCCGCTGCCGCCAGGCTCCGGTGGTGGTGTTTGGCCGGAATAATTAATGCTGCCAGTGACAGCCTCTGTTTTGCTATCCATGATCCCTCATGAAAAAAAGGGAATCTAATTAATTATTTTCTCAATTAAGCATTGTGTTTGAATAAATATAAGCTGGCTATCATAAGTTGGGTGAGAAGATTATGTTCAACTTGCTTGCATGGGAGAAAATGGAAATAAAAATGAGAGAAATGTTGGGTTTGGGTGTGATTTCAGTGTATGTTGGGGTAAAGAAAAGCAACAACTTTCGGCATTGAGATGGCTTTTTTATCAATTTGTACAATTACTGTGTTATTTTCAATTTAGTTAATAAGGTTGGTCTTAGACTGTCATGCTCTTCTAAGTTGAAATTATATACTTTTAAAAAACAACATAAATAAAAGTATAATAATTTATAGTATGCGTTTTTAATTTAAAAGTGGTATTGCATTGTGAGTTTCACTTTAATATTCCAAGTTATAATTTAGCTCAATCATACTATTATAAGCAGAGAGTCTAGTTCAGGGGACATTTCCCATTCAACTTCATATTTTTTATAAACTTGGAAAGATCTTAATTAACAAAAAGTACACAAAAGAACAAGTTTTTACTCTTTTTTCTTGGCCTGGTCCGTTATGAGAAAAAAACATACATTAAATGCACAATTAATGACTTCATTTATGGAATTAAATACAGATTACAAGAGAAAATTACGTGGGGTGATAACAGCAATAATAAAATTTAACCTCCTTTACTACATGCATGTTACAAATCACCTCATCTATATATATATAATTGATAACCTTTCATTTAATTTTACCTCATAAATAAAACCTAATAAATTTTACCTAATAAATAATACAAACTTTCCAAATACAAAAACCGTTACTTTTACAAAATACATCAATTTTGGACAGTTACAGAATCTAAACTAATGACCACTATTTTATCTAAGTATATCAATTTAGGTTAATTAGCTAAAAATATTTACTTTTTTAATTTCTTATATAATCATTACTATGCTAACTTAATTATGAATTATTTATTATAGAAACTCATTATTACATAAGCATGTATTCAGAATATAAATTTTAAAAGAACTTTTTATAAATGTTTATTTGGAATATCTATTGTTTTTTATGATATCACTAGAATAATTAATCATGATGAAAATAGAAAATGCAGCACATGTACAACATGGACAAATACACTAACAACAATACAAAATAAATTCACCAGCTCTGGAAATTGTATCATATAATAGTTATTATTACAATTAATAATTATATTTTACACTAAATGATATGTGAAAGTTACATAAACATAAGAAACTATATTGTAAAAACTTTTTGTTCGAGTAATTTATTATAAAATCAATATAATATTCCTTTATCTGCTTAAGCGATTAGTTTTTAAATAAATTAATTTTTTTTAATGGCATAGTAAAATTCCTTAAAATCGCATAAGCAATTGTTATAATAAATTTAATATTTTTTAGCTAATTAATTAGTCATAGTCCCTTAAAATTTCAAAAAATACATTATTTATTTTATTTTATGCAATCAATATAGTGATTCATATACAATCAAATTGTTATGTACTATTTATTTTAACCAATGATCAAATTTTAAAATATAATACCTTTATTTAACTTATAATTTTAATATTATATGCATAAATATAACTTATAATACCCTATGTTTAAAATATAATATCATTATCTAACATATAATTTTAATATTATATGCATACAAATAACTTATAATACTTCATTTACATCTGTGCAAATGCACATGATCGAATAGTAGTATATATAATTGCTGGCTCATGAGCATTTAATAAAACTTATTAAATTATACCTATGTGGCAATATAACTTTTTTCCTCCAAAAACCATTACTTTTTATTTATTTAACCTCTCATTTAATTATTAGATAATCAACACACTAATCACTTCAAAATTACGAAAATTGTTTTAAACTTTTGATTTACTTACAGCTGACCATATAATATGTTGACTATTTAACGTGATTAGATGTTGTGGTTACATTTAAATCAACTTCTTTTGGAAAATAAAAAACGTATTTAAAATTCCTAAACAAATAATAAATAATTCACAAAAAAAAATACATACCAAAATATACATTACATCCAATATGATAAACGCAATTTAAAAAAATAAATATTCTAACTCCTTTAATTATAAATTTGGCTCGCAAAAAAGTATAAGAAAAATCATTAATCTTATATGCATACAAATAACTCACAATATTTTATTTATATCTGTACAAATGCACAGCTCGAATACTAGTTGAAAGTTGAAACTAAAGGTTAATTTCCTAGTTTAGTTTGTGGCGTCTATTTCTTGATCTTTACTCTTCCCGTCTTTTATCTTTCAAGTCGTGCATTGATAGAGACCGGAACTTATAAATTGATAATTTTTGAATTTTTGTCCTGATTCCTAAATCGATAGAATATATATTTTGCACCCGAATTGATAGTTTAGTCATATTTAGAACTCAAGCTAATAAAATTCCGAATATAACAAAGTAATCAGTTTTTGAGTTGTTAAATACAACATTTTTTATTTAATTTTATATCGGAGCATAGTTTAATTAAAAATTAGAAGCTCAAGATTTCGAGAGCGTATATTATCGGATTAAGGAATAGTATAGTTAACACTATTTTCATAAACACAAACAATTTTGTTCGAATTTGATTAGTCTAAACCTTAATTATGACCCAACATATGTAGATTAAGAATTAGGCTGGTATTAGTTATATTTTCAATTTATTTCTCTATATATTTATATGGAATGTCCTGGTCCGTCCTACGTGTAACTAGTATTCGACCTTGTGCATTTGCACAGATATAAATAAAATTAAACATTATAAACTATTTTTATGTATATAATATAAAAATTATAAGTTATATAATTGTATTATATTTCAAATATATAGTATTATAAGTTATATTTATGTATATAATATTAAAATTATAAATTATATAATAGTATTATATTTTAAAATTTGATCATTGGTTAAAATAAATAGTACACACGATTTGATTGTATACGAATCACTATATTAATTGCATAAAATGCAATAAATATATACTTTTTATATAAACAGTTATAAATTTCACACCACATTACTGGGTGAACCATTTTGTGGGCGTTAAGTATAAGTAATAAATATAAGTAATAATATTATTTATTATAACTTGAAGTTATATATCATAATTAGTAGTAATCATAAGCAAATTTAATAATATCATCTTACCACATATTATTGACTATGGCAGAGCCGTACTTGCCAATAATAATGGTAATATGTAAATTAGTATAATGTTATATTTAGTATATTCATACCACATATTCTTGACTATGGCAGAGCCGTACTTGTCAAAAATAATGGTAATATGTAGATTAGTAAAATATACTGATTTTATGTAATGTATATACATATTAGTATATTCCTACCTTTCAGTCCGGGTAGAGCGTTCGTGCTGATAACGTGTTATAAAGACGGAAAAGATATAGAACACAAAATAGAAACCGGATAGAAATTATACTGAATATTTCTTTCTTCTTCTGAATGAGCACCCTTTCACTATATTTGCATTGCCTTTTATAGGCAAATTCTACCGACACTTTCCACACCAATTATTCATAACAATTACACCATATACTATTCCCATTTCTATAAATAGTGAAATGTCACTATTTATGCATAGTGGTTCATTCCACTTGTGACTTGTTTATAACATAAAAGACATTTTGCGTACAGATACAGCTATTTAAATTAATTGAGTTCAAATAATAAAAGTGCATTTTCTCAGTTAGATACTGATTTTTAATTTAATAATTGAATTTAAATAATAATAGTATATTTTTGTTTGGAGTGTTGCTCGCATAAAAACAATTAGTACATACTCCCACAAAAGTCGTCCCCTTCTGTAAGTGGATATATAATTATATATTATATGGTCAACACAATTGCACGAAAGACTGAATATTTCCTTTATTGAGTTCTCTGCATCCACATTATTATGATATTATCTACTTCAAAAATTAAAATACTTGGTGACATATCCTATAAAATGGAGTATTTGATTCTTCTTATTATATAGAATAATAATGGCTACATGTCAAGCATGTGGTGACACAAACGTATCATAAATATCCATTCATGACAATTTTTAAGAATTGCTATGATATTAAAATCATTTTTTTTATTATTATTTGTAGGAAAGACTACAAAATATAATTTTGTTTAGACAAAAATATTCACTCGTAATATATTTATTTTAATAGCGGAATACACAGAGTTATTATTTGAGTCGAGTAACTCATGTTCGAGCTCATGCTCGTCGCATAAACGATTTAGCTCGGTTCGACTCATTTAATAAATTTAAAATTTTAAATGAGGTCTCAACTAAATAAATAAAAACAAGATATTTAGAAACAAGCTAGGTTTGTTTAATAAATAAGTTCAGTTAATTGTTGAAATCTCATGCTCATATAAGTAAAGTTTAGTAGGTTATTATCCGGTATAAATTACAACTTGATACAGTAGTTTAATGTTACCTCTATATTTTTGCTGCATATCTCACGTGTCAGCATATTCGCTGCCGCGTATTCACCTACCAAAAAGTAGGATTTCTAACATATATTCAAATTTTAATACTGAAAAGTGAGTAGTTTTGATTGAATTACGGAAGCAATTAGCTTCGATAATTGTGCTTAGTTTGGAGGGTTAAAATTGAGTTCGCCGCAGGTGCGACATGTTATCTACATTAATTGAAATTTTTTTAACACCTTTTCAGCGCTGCAGAGCTTTGAGCCCTGCTCATTTACAATTATAAAAACCTTAGTCAAATGTACTTTCTTGATTGTTTCAGTAAATTTGTTCTTGTCTAATGTTGCCTTGAAACTTTATTGAGTTGCATCTATAGCGTTGATATAATATAATGTATAACACAAGTTGAACTATTTAATAACCCGTTTACCATTTATGGACTGGTGAAAATTTGGCATGTTATAATTTATAAAGTTAATACACAAAATGCATGGATAAGAGAATCTATCATTATATTAAAAGATTAACCATTTAACATTTTTAGCAAGTTTTTCCCGCCAAATACATTTAATGTCTCCTAAAAATAGAGCAGCATTAAATGTTGCCCTTAAATCATGACAGTTGTTAATTTAGTTTGGAGAAAATCGTGGCAACTAAAATAAACAACATTAATTACGGCTGATTTAATATTTAAATGGTAAACAAATATTACTTTTTTATAACTGATTTAAATTTACGTCTGTTTAAAAGTAAAAAACTATTTTTGCAATTTCAACAAATCTGTACTCTTTAATGTACGGCTGATTTAAAATTAAGAATTTATTTTTGTATTCTCACAAAAAATCGTATAAAGAAGTATGGCTGGAATAATAATAAAAAATTAATTTGTTAAACCATATTTTGCACTCATAGATATGAATTCTCATCAAATTCAAGATTTAAAATTGTGAAGAATGTATATATATGTGGACTGATTGAAGATATATGATTCCTTAAATTAAGGAATTTTTTTCGGTAAAAAAAAATATAAACTTTAAATATAGATTTTATTAGTAGTATATACCAAAGAATATTGTTACATTTAAAATTCCTATGAAGAAGAATTCTATTAATTTTCAAATTCAACATCTCATAAAAATAATATAATACGCATTTACATTCTATGAAATAATATTTAAAACCCACCGTTCAACATGCATAAAATGTAAAATTATCTAACATGAATCATTTTAACTTTCTAAAATCAGTACAGAATTTGCTCGGTATGTACTAATAGTCTAATAGTTAAGAGTTAATATTTGCTATGACATCTATTGGTTGGAAAGAATTCCATTTTGTATGGAATTCGAAATGAAAAAAACATATTCTGAAAATCAAATCTGGTTTAGAGATCGATTTCTTAATTGCCTAAATTATGCAAATATATTGTTTCAGTTTTTAGGATTCTTTTTTATGATCTCAGTCTTTGCATTATATGAAATCTATACTTATATAAAAAGTCATCCTATTTATTAGAAATAGTAGGCAGAAAAGTCAAAGGTAATCAATGCTTGCTGGAAATATAATGATATTAATTACATATTTGTTTTGGTATTTATAGGCTTGACATTAAAGATTTGTTATGGGATAAAAATTAGAACCGATTTTTTTACCTTTGCTAGAAAAGTCAAAGGTAAGTATAGATTTGTTTTATCCCATAGCATCGATTTAGTTAAGAAAATCCCATTAAATCAGTTTTATATGTCAAGCTTATGAATAAAGATTGAATCGGTCAAAATTAATCCTTATTTTACAGTCACCCATAAATAAAGTAGATGTCAAGCCTAAATTGAAGGGTTTAGTTGTCTATATAGTCATTGGTTTACGTAAATACATCTAATGTTTAAAGTTTGTGTAGATTGAAAATTCTTTCTTATCTTTTTACAAAAAATCTTATTATTATTGTATGGAAAATCAAACTCATAATGTTGTGTACAATGTGGTCTTTAATCATATATGATTGTTTGTTTGTCGAATACTATCTTATTGTATAATTTTCCTGCGTATTATAAAATTTTTATTGAATATTGCATCTTATAATATAGTATTCTTCAAATAAATGTATCCCGTGCCTCGCACGGGTCACGTACTATATATATCCCGTACATTTTTCTGTATTCATGTATATAATTATAAGTCTGGATAAATAGCCTTAAAATTGTGCACCTCGTGCATTGCACGGGCTCTGTACTAGTAGGTCATACATGATTAATTTATTATGACTGGATAAAGGGTATCTATGGTAGATAAAAGTATAAAACAGAAAAGGTAGTTCATATCTTGGTTAATTTCGAAATAGCTTGTGGTAGATGACTTAAAAGTTAAAACATGGCTAACATAATAACAGTATTTAATAGTTTTTTTAAAATGATAATTCGATGAGCATTTAAGATGAGATCGAGTTTTTTAAATAGAAAAAGTCCTACCAAGCAAAACTTTTATAATTTTACTAAATATAAATTAACTTATAGTGGTTATCGAATATAGAATTTGAAAAAATTATACTATTTACCTTCAAATCTCATTATTTTTATATTTATGAAGTTTTATTTTAATTTCAAATATATTATTTTTTATTTATGTTTGGTTTATTTTTACCATTACTTTTGAAATTGCATTATTTTCTTTTATAATTGATTTATGAATGGTATATATATGTTTTATAACTGATTTATGAAGTGTAATAAAAATGTAAAATACCCGAATTTTCACTTCTGTTATCGGGTAGAGGCATGAAGGCCCACTTATATATTGGGCTCTTGCGGAATCAAATAGACTTGTTAGGCTACTATACATTTTGGTTCCAGAATTAACACAGCAGGCTTTATATTATCAGATAACTTACACCCAACCAATGAGGCCCAAATTTTCGTTTTGTAAGCTAGAGCACAACGGAGGAAAGCCCTAAAATAGTGAAGATATGCATAATAATAATATCCTGATTATTTTTTATTAAGGATGTTGTTAGTGAAGTATAGAGATGAGATAGTCCTAACTATTTAGTAAATATGCATATTTTTAAATGAAATCATGCTCTAAAAAAAACAAATAAAAGTATGATATTTCACATAATAAGTATGTATTTACGTAAAAAGTGCATAACGAGTCGACCCAACTAACTGTTTGTTTAACCCTCTCCGAAGATGAAGCAATTTCAATCATTTTCACCATTTTTTTCTCCTCAAATGCAAAGAAAATTTCACCATTCAGAAATTGTGTTGCAGAGGAAACAACTTCTTCAGTGAGCCTTTTAACCTCTAAAACTTAGTATTAACATTTCATAGAAAGACAGTTCTAATTCAACTAAGTTCACCAGCCCCCACTCAGACAGATGCCATATTGCCATATTACACCGATCTTTTCGTGATCCTTAACGAAAACAAACAAACAAAAAGAAGAAAAAAGAGAGAGAAACAAGACGAACAGTTTCAGAACCTGGATAATAGGAATTCAGAAGGCCAGTATTGATGTAAACAGTAAACCGAGCATCAATCGCAATTGAAAGAGTCTGCTGTCAGATGTTCCGGACCTCGGATGGGGTGGTGCGACTGGCTCGTTTGGAGTATGACCTACTTGAGGTATTTCACATGCTCCAAATGTTGCATTTTCCTGCATTGTATGATAACAAACATTTGGAGCACAATGGTAACCTTAATCAAACATTTAATCGCTAACTTGAAATATTGTCAACTCGGATGAGGCCTAAGTCTGTACTATTTACCTCACATATACTTGCTCGAGGGTACATTTAGTGAAAAAGAACACAAATGTTGGTGGGGTAGGTTGATTTTGAAAGATAACTGAGTAAAATGAACGAAAGATCATGTATAAGAAATATGAAATGGGAAAAATTCCAAACCTCGCAAGAGGATATAGTTTTGCAGCCGCACACAAGTTGACCATTTGCCATATCTATTGCTTCGGGTGCTCCACCTCCATCACTTCTCTGCAAAAGCTTACATTGATTTAGTACTTTTCAACCAAAAAATATATAAAAAAAAAAATAGGTTCACCTATTTTAAATCGTTGGTATCATGTGAAATTTCCTGAACCTGACGAAGCAATTACCTTGTAATAATCAACCGCAATAAAATTGGGCCACCTTTGTCCAGCTGCTTGGTAGCATGTGTTCATCATGCTAATCAGAGGGGCTGAATTGTGTTTGCAGGCTGTTGCCATATCTGGAGCATCTGGAAAATAGTTCATCAGAACAAGAGACTTTGATTTTTCATTCATGGCACGTGATTCTGCACGGTTCGGACAAGATCCTGCTACCATTCCACCATTTCCATCTGCAAAGATTTCCAACCAATCAATAAACTTTGTTTTGTCTTCTTACCAACTTGATATTTGATATATTTGAACTTTTTTGTGCAATTGGCCACTCACACTGATTTTCTACTAAGTATTTCCATTCATAGGCAATGCCTTCTGAGGACTCTTTAGCAGCTTTCGAAGTGAAGACTACTAGACGTTGGTTCTGCCTGACCATATCATCGACTGTCGGCCATTCTCCACCATTTTTCGGCATTCGAGATACTGGGAACCAGAATTTCCTCAGCCCAGAAGCATTGAAAACCTTGGTAAGGCCGTTGGGAGAGGCAACATAGTCCTCGATGATTATGGTGACTATTTCAGTAGGATATGACTCGAGAAACTGTTGTACCTCCTTCAGAACATTTATGGCCGGTTGCTGGATAGAGGAATTTCAACAGGTTAGAAATCAAATATTGCAAGAGACAAAGTAGCACGACAATCATAATTGAATTTGAATGAGTGGGGTGACTTGTTTGTATAGTAATTTTAGGTTCCAACCTGACAAAAACAAAAAAAAAGGATCCTGTTTTGTGAAATGGGAAGTTTGTAAAATATCATTTGTAACACCATTGACACACTTACAAAAGCTGTGTAGTTGTAGCAAATTCCACCAAATGAGTGGCATAGCCAGATATCATTTTGGAAGTCATACATATCGAGCATCAACCCTCTGACTCCATTCTGCAATGTATATGTCCAACAGAAACCATCAAAAGAATCGAATGATAAATGACGTACATTCCTATGACAGAGAATCACCTCGAACTCCAAGAATCCTCGATTGATTGACACTATCAGTCAAATGAAACTGATTTATACAATTAAATTATAAGGATAAGTTTAATGTGAAAATCATACAGTTCACCTGCTGCCATAAGTTGTGCCAAGTTAACATAATTACTAGGAAAACAAGATTAACTAGTACATTCAATCAGAAAAATCTGTAACTTATAGAATATTTAAGCAAAGCTCTTTTAGTTTCCTAGTGTGATATCAAATAGAATTTTGGATATGGAATAATTAGAAACTAGATTGCTCGTTTCCTCATTTGGGTCATTCAAATTTCCAGCACTTTCCAAGTATGCTCACAATGCTTTAGGCAAAAGGCTCATTCTCAATAGCAGTAGAACCAATGACATTGGTGCATTCTAGCTAACAAAAGTGGGTCCCATGCCTATTCTCTTATATATTGCTTCAACGTAACCAAGTCTTATATCATAAATCAAGCAATTTAATTCTACAAGGCAAGAGTACTAGGTGTTTTCTTTTTTGTTTTTTTTGCAGAAGAAACCTTGGGCTTTACTTGAAAGCTCCAGCAACTTTACAACAAGCAATGGCATGCGCCCAGCTCTATCATTCAAGATGGATTTGAGATTTTGTCAGTGTCTTTATGAAATTTGGATAATGTGCAAGTAAAGTGCATAAATTCTTGAACTTAAATTAACTGAATAATAATTTTCTTGTGCTAACTTGATCTTGCACTACAATATAAAGTATGAGCATGGAGAGTTTCCAGACTTAATAAATTCATATCAAAGCTGCCATAGCAGTCACTCTCGAGGAATAATATAATTTTAAACCCTGTTAAAACTTCACATGATTGCTTTATTAATCGTGAACATATTTATGATATCCTCATGAACTTCTTAATCCCGCCCCTGCTTTTCCCTTTCTAGTATCAGAAAACAACAAATACTTTTTTAAAACCACTTGCAGCATAGTCACCCTGTGAAACAAGTCATTCTAAAACAAATTGTCTTTGAACTGGTCAAAGGCTCAATTCGTTATTATTAAAGTCAAAAGAAGAAAAACACTATTAAATATTAAGTGTGGAATGTTCACTCATCCAACAGTCATTCATTAAGCATCATTGGGCAGTAATTTAATAACAACAGATAGATGACGAATTTCATGCACATTCGTCAACCACTTTCACAAAAGTTGCTTCAAAAACTGTGCATTTTCATGGCAGCATATTAACACACACACTGATATATGTAAAATAATGCAGGGAGAACACATAAGAGAATAAAATGCTTTACGTGGAGGTGATCAGTAATAGAGTCCTGCTGATTCTCTGGAGTTAAAATGATGCCTCCAGTTGCCGATTTCGCTCCCAATCGAGCAAATGCATTGTGTGTGGTTAACCATGAGTACCGATTGAACGGCAATCCGTTCACCTGAGACTCATCGTTATGAATAAAAAAGATCAGAAATACCAAACAATACATTAGCCCTCTCTGCACCCATATAACTTGGTGTGGTTAACCAAGCCACCTAATCATTCAATTCAATTGTCAACTGTGAATAATTTATGTCAAACAAAATATAAGAATTTTATGACATCAAATGCAATATAATGCTCGATTAATACAAAACAAACGCTAGAGAATGTGGTACAGAAAAAATTCCCAAGAACATTTATCAAACCAAAACTACGCCAAATTATTCACAACGGACGAACCTTGGAAAGAGGACTGATAGGCTGAATCCGAGTACACCGCGGCCTGACATTGCCGTTCGCAATGCACGTCTCACAGTGCAGCCCCGAGTCACAGTTACTGTTTGCAACGCAAATTTGTCCTTGCTGTAACTGTTCAAAAAGAAGCAGTAAACAGAAAACCAAAAAATTCAAACAAAAATCGACACACACACAAACACGCACTCAAGAGAGAGAGAGAGACGAACAGGAAAATGAAATTCGACGTATTTTTCAACTACCTTCAGAGCCGATGAGCTGCCGAAGAGAAAAACGGCGAAGAGCAGCGTCCTAACACAGAAATTCATCACAAATTCGTGCCTGCGCATAGGAAATCAGCGAAAAATCACTAAAAACATGCGCGAATCTTCATTTCAAACACAACCATTTAGCTGATTTCAGCAATACACACACATATACATACAGAAACATCTTCGCTAACTTGTATGTTTGCGTGCGATAGTGAATTCTGCAAAAATTACGTTACTGGAATTGATTTGATTCAAATTTACCTCTCTGGCGGCCACTCTCTCTCTCTCTAAAACAGATTGAAAAAAACTGCCTTCGCCGTTTGTGCAGTTTCTGCTGAGCGATGACGAGACGTGACAAAACTGAATTTCTTCGTGAAAGCAAAATGGAGTGTGGGTTTATTTTATTTATTTATTGGATTTAAAATAAAAATAAAATGTACGTCCCGCGCTAGAGGCGTTTTTCAGTTTTCTCAAGTATAATATAATATCTGCAACCAAAAAAAAAGTATAATATAATATCACTGGGAAAGACTACGGTCCCATTACGGTACCATCCCGTCAAGTGTTTAAACCGTTAGATTATCTATCTTATACAAACTACATGTGATCCAACGGTTAAAACACTTGACGGGATGGTACCGTAACGGACCTTAGCATTTCCCTAATATCACTTATCCTAATTTTTCTTTAATTTGTAACTTCTATATTTGGTAGAAGTAAATGGTAGCTAATACCTGATAAGCTAATTTACACATGTTCGAACTTATAGTTTATTACTCATAGTTCGAAAGTTAGGTTATATGATAAAAGTGTGGTAAAATTAACTGGTAAGCTAGTTGAAATAAAAATTTCAATTAGCTTATTTGAAAAGTTATCCAAATAAACTTATGTGATAAGCTCGAGCTTTTTAAAAAATATCATCCTACCAAACGAAGGTTATTTTAATACAAGAAGCTTATAAACTAATCAAATAAATCATAAGTTAGCTTATTTGATTACCAAACATAGCCTTCAATGAGTGTATTTATTTGAGATTTTTATGGATTTGGTGAAACTTTAAGAATCTTTATGTAGTTAATTTGGATTTTTTAACACTATTGAAAATCAAAAGGTATTTATTTTCAGATTTCAAAAAATCGTTAGGATGATAGGTAAGGAGAAAAAACTTATCAAAGTCAATTTTGATTGGATTGTTTTTTTTTTTTTTTACTCACTTTAACTAATGATCAAATTTGACGTCACTATCCTCAATAATACCAATATAACTAAGAAAAATATTTAATATCTCTCATACACATTTATTTTTAAATATCTATCACTTTCATCATTTGTCTTATACTTTTACATCACATCAATTTTAAATCGTTATATTTTAAATATTATTTAATTACAATATCTCTCGTCCCAAATTTCAATTAATCTATTTTACGCAAAATAACTCACTTTGACTGAGGATCAATTTTGATCAATTTTAATTGGTTTTGACTTCGTACAAACCGCCCGTAACAAATCACGATGTATTTAACTTTTGAGATTTATTATGACTTTCTAAGATTTGCTGAAATTTCATAAATAAAAATGGTATACGAAATCTTACTCAAAATCATACATCCACGCTTAAGATTTCAAAAAGTCCTCTTGAATCTCTAAAATCTCAAATCTATTTTTTTTTAAAAAAAAAATCTCTTAAATCCCAAACTAATAAATGTACATTAATGAATACTTTTTTGAAAAAGATATAAACATTGTTAATATAAATGTGGACCTATAAAATCTTCATTGATAAGGTAGAATAATTTCTTTTTTTACTATTAAACAGGTCTAACTGGTAGCAGTCATAATTTCAAACTAAAGTATTACTCGAAAAAATAAAATAAATAAAAGTATTACATTTTCATAACATAATATACACTTTTGTAATAAATGTTTGAAATATCTGACCCATCTAATTATTAAGGGGACGATTGTATACAAATTGTATAGTAAAAATACCAATCAAAACTCAAATTTAACTCAAATTTAACTCAACTACATTATCTCCAATATTATCAATATAATTAAATAATATCAGTCAATCATTCTTACACATCACATCAACTTTAATTCACTATTCATCTACTCACATAATTTTAACTAACTATCACTTCCAATTATTTTTTCTTATTTTTACATTAAATCAACTCTAACTATTTTACTTTAAATATTATTTTAATATATCCACTAACAACTATCCATACCATCTTTTTTTAAACTTAACTATAATTAATAAAAACCTAGTTTTTTACTAAGTGAATTCATATTCAATCATCCCCTCAACTGTCTCACGCGAGGATTTACTTATTTTTATAACCAAATGCTAGTTGGGACCATTTTATATCAATCCGATAGATATAAAGATCCTTTTCAAATAGGTTTTTGAAACATGACTCCCGTGTTTTTATCAAATTTTCAACTAAACAAACAAAAAGCAAATACGAACACACATAAAAATGAGTGTATTTATTTGTTAATGCGAGGTCCTTGATAATATGTAAAACTCGAGGTCCATATCAAGGTAAATATACAAAACTCATAGTCTTGCATAAATCGTAATGGAAAATGGAAATGTATGTAGACCATAAAATTTGCATGAAAAAACAGAAAAAAGAATTATAGGAATGTGAGTAGTATTTTGTGAATAGAAATGCATATTTATAAATTTTTATTTATGTTATTTTTAAAAAAGAAATATTTTTTTTTTTAAAAAAAATATCCTTACAAAAAATAATATGTCCGTTTAATGATAAAATCAGATGTCCTTGGTCGTTGTCTCTGTTCTCAAACTTGACGATTCTCTAGTCTCTACAAAGTCTACTACCCATATTTAGTTTATTATTTTTAGTTACATTTTAGTCTGTTACCTCGAATTTAAAGAGTAAAAGGCAAGAAAGCGGCGTGATAATACTTTCAAGCAATGATTTCTAAATAAAAATTGGATAAAATTAGGGATATTCTTAATTTTGCAACTATCCCAACTTTACCCGCAATAAGAACAACTGAAATTTTTATTTTTTATTTGTCATCCTAACTTGTCAGCGAACAATCACATTAGTGCACAAAATAAACGTTTATTACATAAAATGTCTTGGCTGAAAAGTGTGTGTTAGTAGAAGAACATATCTATGTAAATTTGAAGTCCAATGGCCGCCTCAAATTTCAAATTTCATGCATTAAATTTAGTCCTTTTT